TGGCCGAGTCCGGCCACCACCTCCAGGACCAGCGCGCCATGGAGATGTACAACGGGCACGGCGCGCTGCTCGGCCACCATTCCGGGGGGTGAGTGCCCGCGGGGCTGGGCTGGCGTTGCCCCACTGCTTGTGGCCACCTTCGGCCCGGCATGTCCTTCCTGTGTGGCCTTAGCTCCTCTCACGGACACATCCTGAGATACGAGGGTAGGAAGATGCTCATTCAGCTGGGTCTGGAGTCCTGTGCCCCAGGAGCATGGGGTGGGTGGGGAGAGGAGTTGACAGGTCTCCTCTGAGATGCAGGGTGCAGAGGTGGAGGACCCCTGTGGGATGCTCTGCTCAGGCTCTTCCTCACCTGCCTGTGGCTTTCAGGTTCGACGACATTGACCTGCCCTCTGCAGTGAAATACCTGATAGCCAGTGACCCCAACCTGCAGGTCCTGGGCGCTGCCTACCTGCAGCACAAGTGCTACAGCGACAGCAACGCCAAGAAGCAGGTGAGCACCCAGGGCCCAAGCAGAAGGTGCTGCCCCCAGCCCCTCTGCCACAGTGAGACACCCGGGGGAGGGCGGAGGTGATGGAGGGAGAGCGGCCGGGTGTCTCAACCCGGCCGGGCTGTCCCCTCGCAGGCCCGCAGCCTCCAGGCCATGCCCAAGCTGGTGAAGCTGTTCAACAGCCCCAACCAGGAGGTGCAGCGCCATGCCACGGGTGCCATGCGCAACCTCATCTACGACAACGCCGAGAACAAGCTGGCGCTGGTGGAGGAGAACGGCATCTACGAGCTGATGCGGACGCTGCGGGAGCCCGACGACGAGCTCCGCAAGAACGTCACAGGTTGGGGACCATGGCAGGGCTGGGCAGGGTCCGGCTGCCCGGGGGTGGCGCCTGGTGTCCCCGTGGCAAAGCTGGAGTGCCGCTTCACGGGGCAGCCTCTTAGCATCAGCATTGTCCACCCTGTCTTGTGGCCACTCCTGGCCACAGGTGGTCAGTGTGAGCTGCCTGGGGAGGGGGATCAGGGTGGACATGCTCTCCAGCCAACCCTGGGACTGAGGATCCCCCTCTGCGCAGGGATCCTGTGGAATCTCTCCTCCAGTGACAACCTGAAGGATCGCCTGGCCCGGGACACACTGGAGCAGCTCACGGACCTGGTCCTGGTCCCCCTCTCTGGGCTGGGGGGCTCAGGGGTCATCCAGCAGAACCCCTCAGAGGCAGAGATCTTCTACAACTCTACAGGCTTCCTCAGGTACCTGCTCTGAGCCAGCTCTGGTCCTTCCGCTGTGCCTAAAGTTTTGGGTGGAAGAGGGGACACCATCTGTGCTGTGGAGGTAGGGAGCAAGGTTCCCAGAGCTTGTTCCTGGGGTTCCCATCCCTTGCAGTGCTTCAAAGCAAAGCCTGGTCAATCCCATGGAAGAGATGTTAGGGGTCTTTCCTGCGGTGGTGCCTGGTGGCAGGAAGGAGGTGGCCGTGGGGAAGCCCTTTCTCACCTTGATGGCCTCACATTCCCTGTGCAGGAATCTCAGCTCTGCCAGCCAGCAGACCCGACAGAAGATGCGTGAGTGCCATGGGCTGGTGGACTCCATGATCCACTATGTGAACAGCTCCCTGGAAGTGGGCAAGTCAGAGGACAAGGTGAGCCCAAGGAGCACACAGGGTTTGGGTGCCCTCACAGAGGGTGCTGGGAAAACCAGCCTGGCTTCATCCAACCTTTGGGAGCAACACTGGTGTCCTTGTGGTGGCTCTGCCCACAGATCCCCATGGGAACTTGCCCCAGGGGATGTGCCAGCTGGAGATGCCCTGGCAGGTGGCACAAGGACTGACACCTTCTTGTCCCATCTCCCCCCCAGAGCGTGGAGAACGCTGTCTGTGTCCTGCGCAACCTCTCCTACCGCCTCTACGACGAGATGCCCCCGTCCTCCCTCCAGCGCCTGGAAGGCCACAGGAGGAACAACAGTGGCATGGTGACTGGGGAGCTGGTGGGCTGCTTCAGCCCCCAGAGCAAGAAGGCACGAGAGGTCAGTGATGGGCACCGTGTCACCAGGGGTGGGGTTGGCACTGGGAAGCAGCTGGCACCGGAGATGACGCTGGGGCGGGGGTGGACGCCGGCCTGGGCTGGTGGGTGGGACATGGGTGAGCTCAGCAGAGGGTGAAGCAGGGGTGTGGGGTGAATCAGGGTGCTGAACCCCTGCTTTGCTGTGCCACGGGGCAAGATGTGGCCAGGGTGACCTGTTGGGTTGTGCCAGTCCAATGGCCGAGGGGAAGGAGACACCAGCAGCGAGGGGTGCTGCAGAGGGGACATCCCCCACGAGGCTAACGGTGCTGCCCCCATCCCCACAGCACTACCTGAACGCGGACATCGTCACCTTCACGGAGGTCTCCAAGGACCCCAAGGGCATGGAGTGGCTCTGGAACCCGCAGATCGTTGGCATCTACAACCGGCTGCTGCAGCGCTGCGAGCTCAACAAGCACACCACGGAGGCGGCCTCGGGCGCCCTGCAGAACATCACCGCTGGGGACCGCAGGGTGAGGGGAACGTCCCCTGGGGCTTGCCCCGCTGTCCCCACCACCTGGCCAGTCGCAGCCCCGCCCGGGGGGGGGGGGGGCCCG